AAAAATAATTTTGAGAAAGAGTTTTATAAATTAATGAATAATTCTGTTTTTGGAAGAACAATGATGAATGTAAGAAAACATGTGGATATAAGATTAATATCTGAAGGTGATAAATATACAAAATATGTTTCTAAACCTAATTTTAAAAAATCTAAATTTTTCGGTAAAAATTTGTCTGCTGTTGAAATGAATAGAACAGAGATTAATTTTAACCAACCTATCTTTATAGGTGTATGTATTTTGGAGATTTCAAAGATTTTAATGTATGATTATTTTTATAAGCTGAAAGAAAGATATGGAGATAACATTAAATTATTATACGGTGACACTGATTCATTAGTATGTGAAATTAAAACATTAGATTTATATGAGGATATGAAAGCAAATATTGATGAATATGATACATCTGATTATGAAAAACATAATGTTTATGGTATACCTCAGATTAATAATAAAGTAATGGGAAAGTTTAAAGATGAAATGAATGGAAAAATTATTGAAAGTTTTATTCGACTTGCTTCAAAGTCTTATTCAATTAAATTATTTGCTTCAAATAAAGGTATTAGGAAAGCTAAAGGAGTAAAGAAAAATATAGTTAAGAATAATATAACTCATGATGATTATAAATTATGTTTAGAAAATAATATATGTAAAAATGTAGAACAGATAATGATACGTAGTGAAAAACATGAAATTAGTACTATAAAGCAGACTAAAATAGGATTAAACTGGTTTGATGACAAAAGACATTTAATTGATGGAAAAACAGATACATTGGCATGGGGTTATAAGAATATCGGAATAGATAGAGCAGATTTTATTAACCACTTAAAAACTATTAATAAGACTAAATGTTTATAATAATTTCTAATTCTTACATGTGCGTAATTTACGCACGCGTCACTAATATCACAAAATCCCATAAATTCTAACAAATTTTCAGTAATTAATATTTCTTTTATTAAACAAAGGAACAAAATTCTAAGAATATATTATTATTTGATAATCGCAGATAAATCAGCTTTGCTAACGCAAATTAATTAAAAAATTATCTAAGTTTAAATATATAAATATGTAAATATAAATATTTACAAACGTGTCCCTTTTTGGGGGACGCGTTAGATATAGAATTTATGAGATGTTTGAATCTATGTTTTTAGAAGTAAATATGTAATAAAATCATTACATATTATTTTAGTGCCATCTTGATCTGCAAGAGATACTTCAATACGATTAAAATCTGTTATATTCATATTTAGAGGAATAAATTTAATATCATTAGCTATATATTGGCCACTTTTATCACATTTAATAACACATAAAATATCACAGTTTGAGTGCAAATATTCCTTAGTTTTATGGTTAGAAATGGATTTTCAATTATATTACAATGTACTTCAGTAAACTTATCTTCAAAATAATTACTGGTTATAATATCTGAACCAACATGTTTGTGGGTATACTTTTTACCAAGTCCTAGGCTTGATATTAAATTTTCATCCAATAAATAATAATCACTAGATTTAAATGTAATATAGTTATTTGTTTGTTCTATTTTTACACTTGATGGTAGTATTTTATTTAATTGATCAATAGTGTAATTTCTCTTTTCTATTAAAGTTAAGCCTTTTAATGTTATAATATCACCATTTACATCTTTTAGGAAACCTTGTGTGTAAAATTTAGGTATTAACGTACCTGTTTTACTATATTTAAATGGCTGTTCAATTTTATAATTTGAAGAATTATTAAATACTGGAATTCCTAAACAATCAGTTAAGTGAGAGTCAAAAACATATTCATAGTTAGTTGAAATCATTAAATATTTATTATTATTTATTGTAATTTTAGAATTAACAATGTTCTTGTCTAGATTTAATAAATTTTGAATTTCATTAATAGAATATACACCAATAGGTATCTTATGAGTCTCTTTTTCGACTTTAAATTCACATTCATATTCAATATTTATGTAATATTCATCACTAGTAGGATAATAAATTATTCTTTTCTCACTTGTCATTGAAAAATAATATATATCATTAAAACCTAGGTATTTTTTTAAGTTTTCATCTAGTTTATAGTACAATGGAGATTCTATTTTAATTTTTTTTTCAATAATAGAGATAACTAATGGTTTTATTAATTTATTCAACTTTTCAACAGTATAAAGCCCACTTATAATATCAATTATATCAATACCAATTGCTATCTCACAATCTTTTTCTATTTTAATTAAATCATTAGAATTGGCAACTGACAAAGCATATAATCCAACAGACATACTTTGGTTTTAATTATGTATATAATGTTCAAAATGTATACACCCATTTATGATTTTGATTAACTTCATTTAATAATGAAAAATGTTAATAATTAATTGCTTTTTACTGAAATTCTATTAAATAGATTGATTTCCCATTATTAAATTTTTTTTTACCTTTGTACATCATATACATTTCACCATCATATTTGTCTATATCTTCCTCAGAAATACCATTAACAAAACTATAGGGCAAAAATAGCACACTTCTATTGTCTAATAGAACAGAAACTCTTTCACCATATTTTGTAGTTATTATTTTAAATGTTGATATTTTATAAGGTTCATTAATATTTAAATCAGATAATTGTAAATGTTTGTATTTGTAATCTTCTTCATTTAACTTCTTTAATACTTTAATTACAGTACTGTCTAGAGAATTACCTTGGAACTCTATACGATAGTATAATTTTCCATTTTCAAGTGTTTTTATATATCTATGAAAAATATAGATTGTAGACCACTCCTTGTCATTTAATTCATATATATTTTCAGAAATAGTTTTCATAAATCTATCTGGTAATAAGAGTTCATATTCATTATCCAACACAACAGATACTTTATTCTGCCCATTAATGTTAATGATTTCAAAAGCAGTAGGTAACTTCATATTTTTTATCAATTGTCAATTCTGATAATTTAATATATTTATATTTGTGTCCATGCTTATTTAATCTTATTTTTAAATCTATTGAGTACCCAATCCACGACCCAATAGGCAATCATTCCTCATGGCATTGCTAGGCACCACGTTAAAACATATATTAATCGGGGCATCAAGATCGGCATGGAAAATATCCGCATCAAATTGATCTACAATGTTTAATTTAGAACCATTAATACCTACTAAATCCGATTTTGGAGGCATGATCCCAGACACGAATGGGACAACTGTCGATTTAATGAGACTAACCGGGCTACCCGTATCTACTAAAGCTTGTGCATCGATAGACTCACCATTGGGGAACTTAATGCTAACATCTAACATAATATATGGGGTACAATAGGTGTGGGGGACCGTTCTAAAACAGAAACATGCTCACCACCGTTGTTGTCACCTTGGCAACTTGGACAGTACCGCGCTGAATGACCCGTTGATTTACAGCTATGACAGGTTCTTGTTGGACACGAAGACGCCAGATGCCCGATTTTTCCACAGCTATAACACGTGACATTCGACATATCCCTTGTTGGCTTACTTCTTGAATCAATAGTGGAACGTTGTACCGTATTTCGATCTTTATCGCGATTATCAGAACTGGCTTTTCGATTGCCGGTATGACTTTGAGTTGTCTTCACAGGCTCGGTCGATCGAATTCGACTGGTCCTGGCATTTCTCAGATTATTGTAAGAATTTATATCAGCCAATAATTCAATGTGCGCGCTATCAAATAGTTACATAAATCGTGAGAATAAACACCTTAACTATCTGTTGTTTAGTCTCGTTAATTGGTAGCGAAATTTCACGGCAGAGGCGGGCTTTGTGGTGAAAATATTCTATGACGCACTCGCCCTTGGCTTGAACGCGGTTTGACATAATTCTTATACGATCAACTGTGCACGACTCGTTTCCCACAAATGTGTTATTAAACTGGTCGACAAAACTTCCCCAACTTGAAAATGTACGACCAATGTACCAATTTTGGGACGGACCATCCAATTTTGTACGTACTATTTCTAATTTAAAACTGTCTGGCCAATTATGCAATTTTGCTACACCTTCGACTGATTTCAACCATGCTCTCGCATCTGTATTGGATTCACGACCAGAAAAAATATTAATCGAATTATTAAAATCTGGCATGACGTAATAGCCGTTGTTGGAGGTTGACCGCGCTTGAATGTTATCGTTGTTTATATTGTTATTGTCTTCATTACGCAATATCCGCGATAACAACAATCGGTTCTGCTCTATCAGCGCTGACAATGCATTTTGCATTCCACTATCACTGGCGGTGGTTACACTCCCGGACGGTTGGTTAGAACTTTGTGGTAACATGCTTGTCGTTGGCTGCGTATTTAGCTGCTCCGTAGACTGTACTGGTGGCTGCACTGTAGCCTGCGATCCGCTTCTTAAACGGCTAGATGACCAACCCTCGTGGTTACCGACATCATCCTGACCCGTTTGACCGTCGGCCATCTTGACTTAACTAATTAAGTTACGCAAAACAAAATATGCGCTACAACCCAGAACTACACAACGACTAATTCCACGATTATGTCAATACACAATATTTCTTGAGGGCGTGGGTACGAATCCCACTTCTGAACTGTAGGGGCTCGTTGATGTCAGGAATTGAAGTTGTTAGTTAGGTGACACAAAACACGAGACTCAATTAATATGAATAATTACTCGACACTTTAATAATTATACTTTGAAAAATAATAACAATAACTTTAATAACAACTTTTAAAAGACAAGTGAGTGCCCGTGAGCGTGTGCAGTCCGGACACACTCCGGCAGACACACACACGGCAACACACACCAAAAGACTAAAACTGCTAATACTAGACGTCGCTTCGGCGGCACGAGTAGGTGGACAGTGTTGTCACTTATCACTACATAATTGATAGTATTTTATTAATAAAGAATATTATAATATTAATCTAGAGTTTGCAAAAGAAAATTAAAAAATTAGGATACACTAATTATGTTAAAGACAATATGTCAGCAAAAATGTGTATCAAGATGACGGCTGCGTTAGCATTACTTCCACATCATCAAATTGAGATGGGCTTTGAAGAAATTAAGTCATAAGCTCAAGAAAATAGAGCACAGTTGCCAAGGTTTTTTACATATTTTTCAAGGTAATATTGAAATATTATTATTTTATATTCATACTTACCTATATAAAAGTGTTGATATTATATTCAACATAAAGTATTTAAATTCAAACAGTTTTTGGATCAATAGAAAGGGGCCCGAATGTTTTTCTGTATATAATCAACCTCGTCGTACCAATAATAACATAGAGAATTTTCATTCAACATTAAAACAAACTTTTCAAGTGTTACACCCAAATTTATGGAAAGTACTAGGTGAGTAATGACTTTTCTCTTTTATTATAAATAATCTGAAAATAGTGCCAAAATTGTTGTTGTAATAAATTTAAAGTTTTACATTAATGAGCCCTATCCTTACTTGACAAATATTTTGTTGGTTATAGAGCAACTGAATAATATCATGGTAAAACAACACATCATTGTTGATCAATTGGCTGAAGGCTTACAAATTATCAGATTCATTAGAATGAAGTACATTTTGAACTCTATAAGGATAAAAAATTCCACTGCTCTTTTAACTATCGGTTCAATAAATGTAAGAGAATTTCTAATCCAATGTTTACACAGTACAGATAACTATCTGCAAAGAGAATTAAATTGGAGAGATGAAACTCTAAGTATGTACACTAAAACAAATATTTTAGAATGAAAGTACTGATAGTCTACCAATGAAATATTATTCTGATGTTTTACTTCTGGCTAATAACTCATTAATTTGTATTTGAACACAATATTATTTTAATTTTAGGTTCTGAAGATGATTTTCAGGAAATAGGTGAAATTCCAGTCATTGAAGATGCTGTAGAAAATCAACCCATGGGCCCTATTAACAACTTTGCTGAACCTGAATTCAATATTGTTGAAGGTTACAAACATTAAAATAATATAATAAATAATTACTTTCCTATTAATTAATTAATTTATAACTTATTGCTAGGGACCGGATTTACATGCAAATGCATGTACTTATTAGAATAAGTTTTTTGAAATCTGATGAGAATTAATTAATTCTATGATTTAAATCATTCTTAATGAAATAACACTAATTGTATTTTGCATATTTTAACGTTTTAACTTTTTAATATAAACGCAACTAAGTGGGGGGCTTTGAGGGCTTAGCCTCCCAAATGCACTCATAGCCCACCAAAACATAGTATAGGTATTTTTAAGTTTAAAGCGCATACTATTACAGCATAATTTGAGGATTTTTGTGCATATTAATTCGGTCTCTAATTATTACATATTAATTTAAGAAATAATTCCCTACAGAGTTTTTGAATAATTTCATCGATTTCACATTATTATTTTAGGCAGGAAGAGATTGCACCACAAATCAATTTTGAGGGTAAAAACTAATAACTTATAAAATATACTTTAAATTAATCAATTATTTTTAACTTCTATCTACAGCGACTTCAACAAATTATTTTCTTAAAATATTCATGAATTAATATTATAAATTTATAAGTTATACACCATACAATATTTTTATAGATGAAAATGATTTTATCATTCCCGAGGATAGGGAAATGAACATTTGGGAACAATTTTTAAACGATTCTGAAGATGGTGTAGATGAGGTACCATTTGTTCGAGTACCTCATAACTTGGTTGATTTATATCCACAACAAGACGAAGAAAGTATATGTGTTGTGTGCAGAATGAATCAGAGGACACATGCGCTTGTACCTTGTGGGCACAGGGTTTTGTGTATAGATTGTTTAGAACAACTAGAAGCATTACGATGCCCAATTTGCAATGAAGACTTTACAAGTGCTTTACGAGTGTGGTAAATAAAATTAACTAGAACTAATAAGTTTTGTTATGTTATTTATGTAAATAAAACAAAGAAAGTACCTGTCTTAATTGAATACATTTATTTTAAACACTTAATACTTTCACCAAACAAACATAATAATAATATTATAACTATAATTATTATTCTTATTATTATTTTAATATTATGTGCTGAATTGTTATGTTTTTATATGTTTACATAATTAAACCCAGTGATCAATTTGTAGATAATAATATCACACAATTTACTTCAACTCTTAAGACTTAAGACAACATTTTAGTAATTTGTTATTAAAATGATACCTTATTCAACTGTACGGTAATACATTTTTATCAAAGTATTTTTGTATAAAGTTGGTAAATGGTAAGTATAAATAGGTGCAGATTTACAATCAGTGTCACAGATAGGAAAATGTTCAGTTTTTTGACAATGAATAGAATTATTAATTTTTGTTAAGTTATTTTTTTAACTTGTAAGTAATGTAACTTGACCAAGTAAAAATAAAGTGGGTTACTAAGGTTACTTACAAATAATTTGATTACTAAAAAAATGTAATTTCCTCAACATAGCGATTGTGTATGCTTATACAATTATGTTATTATTTGCTTTATAGTCAATAGTCATTATTATGGTACCTAGTTGGTAACAGTATATTAGTATAGATAGTTAGTTATCAATACATATTTTTTTCTGCTTAGATTTTTGTCTTTTGAGTGAATACTAAATACCTATCATCTAGGTTCCAGGTGGTACTAAATAGGTAAATAAATAATCTGATAATATAATATAATATAAAGTTCTATAGTATAATTACTAAGGTATATATTTTACTATATATTATATAGTATAATTTATTATACATGGAACCTATTCAAACATTTTACGGTTACAAAATAATATAGAATAGATATGAATGATTTGGCTAGCTGAACCATAGTGTTATAAGCCTATAAGAGTGTACTGAGACCAACTGAGTGCAGTAAAATGTTTGTCTTGCTAATTTTAATTACCTACTATCGACAATACATGTAATATTGTGTTCTACAGTTTTATGATTAAATTCAAGTATTATAATTTCTATGTAACTATCGGTTTTTTCATGTTTTTAACAAAGAACAAGTCAACAGTTGAAACATACTGCAGTACAATAACATTTTATTAAATAACAACAATTCATTTTTTTCAATAGGTAATAATAATAGGTACTGAGGAATTTAGTAAGACATACACACATACAACAATTCTATCTGGTAAATGTTAATATCTAATGAACTTTAACAATATCAACTAAATGTTTAAAGTCTTCATTATATTAAATGTATATTGTAAACATTATCCCCTGTTTTTACGCTATTAATTATTATCTGTATAATTACACATTCAGTGTCACCCAAGACATATTTTTCAGGTGTAACAAGACATAGTTTTACCCATCCACCAAAACTTATTAAATTACTTAATGTTATGATCCACAGTTCTAAGGCTTTTTTTTAAGTCTGAAAATTTACTAACAACATGTTCTTTTAAATCAAGATTATCATAAACATAGTTTGAGTAGCACAATACAAAGCATACATCATTAGTGGATAATTTATTCCTGAAACCAAATTGGTTTTTATTAAATAGGTATATTATGAGTCTAGTTTTTATACATTTTTCTTGTAGCGAAGGTCTATAATTAAAGATAAATAAGTTGAAGTTTTTTTCATTATTTTTAGTGTTTATATAGTCAACAAATCTTCTCAATATGATGAAAAGTTTTTACATTTCATAATCACTAATTTCAATAATAATATGACAGTTTTAATTTAACTCACTAAATATTTTGTATATTATGAAACTCATTTACTAATATTTTTAGCTATATTACCTCTAAAATTTACAAAAAATGGATTAAAAATATGAGCGATTTATTTTGAGTTATGGATGATCCATCCTAGCTAACTCATAATTGGTCTCATTATTGTTTGTATGTTTTTTACTTTTTTTCAACCAACGTTATGAAGGTATATTGGATATTCAAAATTATACTTATGTTACCTACATGTAAAACTCAAATTACAATATTACCCTATTAACAACTTACCTACTTGATGTATAATAGGTGGTATTGTTGTACTTATTGTGTAATAAATTTTCTCTGTATCTGTATGTCCTATAAAGTAGATACCAATGTAATTTAAGGTTTTTCTATAAGGAAACTGATCATAGGCGTGCGCAGACTTTGTTCGCAGAGTATGCGGCTGATAAAACGTGCCCCCCCCCCCCCCCGCAGATATAAATGCTCCTAAAATGAATGTGCATTGTATTATAAACTTATGGCAACTATTTTATATTAGAAAAAAAAATAGGTTTTTCATCTTTTTTTGATTAAAGTATTTTTTTTTTACAAATATGATGTTTATTTAAATGAAAATTTACATTATACCTACATAATTGTTATAAATCAATCCTTCTCTTTCCTGGTATAAGGACTTTAAATCCTTCGATCACATCCTCTAGGTCAATTTCAGTTGCAATGTGTTGTTCGATGAATATCAGCATTAATGCATTTAGGCGCTCTTGAGTCATCACTGACCTCAACTTTGATTTAACAATAGTCAATTTTGAAAATGCTCTTTCACAAGAGAAATTTGTAACGGGAATGATAACAAACAATTTTAAGGATTTATAAAAATCTGAAAAAATTTCTGAACGTCCACTATCTACTAACCAATCTTACCATTTTGAAATATTAATGTTAGATGAACCGTATATAGATTCTATTTCCGGTATATTTATAAGTAGTTTAATTTCTGTATGAATATTTTTTAAATTAAATGCTTCTGACAATATTTTAATGTCTGCATCATCTGTTTGAAGTTTTAACATTTTCCCCGTAGATGCAATTAAATTCAATGTTTCTTGTGAAAAACGTTCATCAATTCCTCGAATCATTTCATCTAACACTGGATAAAAAGTAAAATATCTCATTTCTTCAATTTTACTATCAACAGTATAGTGTGTGTAGAATTGTCATCAATTTTCCACAAGACAAAAGTCTTTGACAGAGTCTTTTCGACAACGCCGCCGGAAATTCGAAATTTCGTAAAAAAATAATACAGTCGTTGTATTTTTGTGGGTGTCTAGCCATGTCTTCGCCTTAGTAATAGTATTTGGGGTCTAGCAGGTCAGTCACGTTCCTCGACTTTGGTCGTAGTCTCCCTGGAAGGCAATCCGACAATAATCGACGGCTGGGGCACGTCATCACGTATGCAATCCGACTGCGTCGAATCGCGGACGACGTTCATTACTGTTACTGAAAACGCAAAATTAAGGAATAAATTACTTGAAGAAAATTCAAATTATTTCTGGCGTCCGTGCAAATCATATAGCCACCGTCTGATTTTTTTGAGTCTAGCAGGTCACCCATCTATGTTATCCTTGTAGGCAATCTGACTCGATGTTGGAGGTAGACAACGTGACGACCGGTTCGAGTCATCGGCTATACAATTTACCTGAAAACATGTTTTGGGGTCTAGCAGGTCAGTCACCTTCCTCGATGTTGTTTATATTTTTATGGGTGTCTAGCAGGTCAGTCACCTCGAATGACGTTCGCCGTAGTAATACAGGTAGGCTATGCGACTGCGTCGAATCGCGGACACCGTTCATTACTGTCACCGATAACGCATAATTAAGTAAAAATATCATCTGGTCGTCGGTCTCCAGCAGGTCGTTGTGTCATGAGATTTGCACCACCGTGGTTCCACGTGGTAGCCCGTGTGAGCAACAACGTTCGCCGAATGCCCCCAGAAATTCGAAATCCCGTAAAAATCATATTGTTGCCGCGATTTTTTTCCTCTCTACCAGGTCAGTCAACTCGAATGACGTCCGCCTTAGTAAGACTTCTAGGATATATGACAATGTGCGACGGCCGACTTTTATAGCTGCCCTTTAGTTTAGGTGTCTACCAGGTCAGACCCCTTCTTCGACGTTACAGCACATAAAATCATAACGCAGAACCTACCATGATTATGAAAATCTCATATAAAAAATAATATATTCGTTGTATTTTTGTGGGTGTCTAGCCATGACTTTGCCGTAGTAATAGTATTTGGGGTCTAGCGGGTCAGTCACGTCCCTCGACTTTGGTCGTAGTCACCCTGGAAGACAATCCAACAATATTCGAATCGCGGACGACGTTCATTACTGTTACCGAAAACGCAAAATTAAAGAAAGAATAAATTAAGTGAAGAAAATTCTAAATATTTCGGTTGTCCATGCAAATCATATAGCCACCGTCTGAATTTATTGGTGTCTAGAAGGTCAGTCATCTATGTTATCCAGGTAGGCAACGTGCGACCGGGACAGCGTCCATTACAGTCACCGACAACGCAAAATTAAGTTATGAATTATGTGAAAAAAATTCAAAACATTTCGTAAGCAATCCGACTACCGAGTCACCCTCCTCGACGTCATTACTTCAAAATTTAGGTCTACGATTTTATAATAATTTATTATTACTAACAATTAGTTATTACCTACTTACACCACAGTGGAAATATCTATTGAATTTTAACCAAAAAAAACCGAAAAAACCTCTACATCAAAATATAGGTTTTGGTTTCTTTTCTTAAAACAATGTATTTAATTGTTCCGGTCCTAAGATTTTCAAAAGGTTTCGGTCCAATACCGGTCAATTTCGGTACGGTTCCAGTCCCTGTTATGAACTAATAAATGCATACATATCAATATAATATTACGGTTGTCAGGTAATTGGTTGAGGTTATGAAATAGCCACTTTCTTATTTTGGTAATTAATAATTTAATGAAGCATACAAATACTGCTACAGTTTCTATACAATATATATTATTATATTAATAAATATAAAGATCTTTATATATTTAAGTAAAGTTTGTAGGTAGTAAAGTTATTTAATATTTGTATAATATTTTCTATACTATTTGATATTACTTACATAATATATAGTTGTACCTACCTTGTATATTTATTTA